TTTATCATGCCATTGTCCGTGTGACATTTCGAAAAAGTGTGTCTCAGACAGTGCTGACTGGTTCATTTATTTATACAAGCCCTGATGTTGAGCTGGAAATCTTTGAATCAATCGCCGGAAGCTGACTGAAATCACCTTCAACGTGAACGTCGTTTCTGCAAAACAACTTGAAGTTGGCAGCCAAAATTTCTTTGGTCTTCAAAAGAAGCCGATATTATCGTTGTTTTTGTTCACGATGACTTCCTGAAAAAAGAGGTTGGAAGCCAGCACCCGTGGCGTCCCTTTTTCCCCAAACAAGTTATTATTTATTTAGGACAACATGAGTGGAAGGGTAAACTGATACCTCCCAATCGAAAGGTGTTCAAATGAGCTGATATTTGGTAAAACCTGTGTGATGGAAGCTTTTCAAATGTACAAATTTATCAGAAATCAGGCAAGACGGCCCAATTGGTTAGAGCGCGAACTTACTGACCGGAAAATCCGTGGTTCGAACTCGACCTCTGCCTGTCGACTTTCCCTGCCGTGGCTCGGGCAACCTGGCAGTATCTCAGCCCTTGTACACTTCCTTCGGTCGCATGGCAACTAGGTACCGAAAGGGTGTTACAGCTAAGTGATTTTTTCAGAAAGCATGCCTGATTGCATAAGAATTGCGGGACGGGACGGGAGAGGAAAGCCGAGTGTGCGGTTTTAGCAAAACCGGTCCTAACACTCAAGCGCGCAATTCCATGTGGTTTACCGATGTTCATTTCATGGTGATATCCGTGGAACTGATCCGAGTCACACATGCAGCCCACAAGACAACTGCTGAATGCCTCAATGCATACCAATTTGGTTTTCACGAGAGACTCAACTGAATCTCTCGTTTATCACATTCTACAACTGAATGTGCTGCACACAGGCCGCCTCATGTTTCAGTTGGCATGATATTCGAGATATCGCAATATATTTCCATGAGGGAAACTACTCATAAGGTTGCTGAAAATTCTTCGACAACCCACGACCGGTTTCGCCCTTCTTGGGGCTCATCAGGTAGGCGCAGTTCCCGAGTTTCCGTCAACCTTAGGTTCTACTTGAACCCAGGTTGGACTATTTTCGAGAAAAACCAAATTGATTTGCAAGTAAGTGGACTTATCGAAAACAGTCAAATTTGGGTTCAAGCAGACTATACGATTAACGGGAACTCGGGGACTGCGCCTACCTGATGAGCCCCAAGAAGGGCAAAACCGGTCGTGGGCTGTCGAAGAGTTTTCAGCAACCTTGTGAGTAGTTTCCTCAATGCCTAGTTTGTGCAATCACAGGAGCCGGACAGTCCACTGCGTTCGGGGCGTTTCGTCTATCAAAAAACAACCTGCGATTAACACCAACAGAAAACTTTCAAAAAACTTACCCGCTTTTGTGTCGAAATTGTACTTCGACAAAATAAACAATGTCGGTTAGTGGAACAAGCAATATTTGACGACTGAACTGGTCACTTCGGATGACGCAAGTGTCATCTTCCCTTCTTTTTATTTGTGTCAGGATTTCACCAGGTTTACGACATAATGAAGGGTCGTGACGTACATTTGCACGATCTCTCGACGTCTCAAAACCAAGAGTTAGTGCAATCACGGGAACCGGACAGTCCATTGCAATCAGGACGATTTGTCTACCCAAAAACAGCCTGCCATCAAAACCAACAGAAAACTTTCAAAAACCTTACCCGCTTTTGTGTCAAAATAGCAATCGACAAAATAAATATTTGACGACTGAACTGACTACCTCGGATGACACAAGTGTCAGCTGCCCTTTTTTTATCTGTATCAAGATTTCGCCAGGTTTACGACGTAATGAAGGGTCGTGACGCACATTTGCACGATCTCTCGACGTCTCAAAAAGTTAACAAGCGTTGTGCGACAGTTTCGCCAGCAACATCGAAATCTCTGTGGCAGCACACACCACGGCTCCAGTGTGAGTCATAGCGTGAAAAGCCTTGGTATGAGCCATAATTTATCTCTCACGACCTTCCACTATTCATCATACTTCGATTCCTAAGACTGCTCAGTTGTAATCTCGGAGTTACACCATTCTTTCCTGGATTTGTACTCACTGCATTCTCACCGGTTCCGGGTTTATCTTCAGGTAAGGTGGGATCCCAATGAATTACCCAAGAATATCTCGTCCTGCAGGCAACGTTTTCCCACACTTTGAAAGTCTAAAACCAGCCCACAGTTGCTTCGTCTTTGCTTGCAACTTCAACAGTGCTTACTACTATCCGGGGGAGGTAGGTCTACAAAGGCTGCTCACCACTAGTGTGACCAACGTCAGGAGCATCGCCGTATTCACACCAAGGTCATCTTCGATTGTCACCGCAGTACTGCGCAAGCAACCAGGATAAGGTACCAGGATAGATCGGATTGAAATTAGCACAATTTCTATGACAAACAGACCAGGTTGCATGCCAGTGAAAGGAAGAAGGCCTTCGCTGCGGAGTTACTTGATAGGACGTGCCAAGTGAACATCTACAGACCATTAGACAAGGAAGCAAAACTCTCATATGCACCTTGTTTACAAAACTAAATATCCGTCTTCTGCTTGAACGCGTCCTCCTGAACTTTCCTGGATATTCATTGACCGATAATCAATCAATCAATCAACAGAGCAACTCCACAAATTCCGTAATAGATCTCACTTTTCCAGAGACGCAAAGCGGATTTACGAGAAAGCATACTACTCGAATGCCTTCCCATCAGTAGCATCACCGTTACACCAATTTGGTTTTTATTCTAGGCTCACCTGAATCCCAGCTTAGTCTCTTGTTAACAATGTTACTCTCCAACTGAATGTGTTGCACCGGGTCACCTAATACTCTATCCAGTTGGTACGATACCGGAGTATCGCAGCACGTTGTATGGTTGCAACACGATACTCATAAGGTTGCTGAAATCCCACGACCGATACTGCTCATCAGGCCGGTGCAGTTCCCTAGTTTCCGTCAACTTTAATTCCTACTTGCACCATCCGAATTGCACAATTTCCTGTTTGATGACTGATACTACTATATCTTAATTTTAGTAGTCTAGTTTGTAGATATCAAACATACCGATAAAGAGCCGTGAACGCTTCCGTTGGGATTCTCGCTTGATGGTGAATCACACTTCAACTGGACTTCTTATAGACAATCAAGAGTAACGGAAATCAATATGACCTGCTGAGAGGAACTGACGGAAAGATGGAGTAGTTTATTGATTAACAAGCCCTGTGAAAACGAACTAGCCTAGCACGGCGTACACCCCAGTGTACCAGTATGTGAGCTTAGTGGATACACATTACACAGAAGGACATTTTACCAAAGTCGAAAGCCATCGACCTGGGAGGCGTTTCCGGTCTTGAATCCCTCACGGTCACTGTCCTTGGGCTATTGGAGACAAGTAGATCAAATCCTCAGCTTTTGACAAGCCTTTCCACAATTTACTTCAAGGGCAATCTAAAGCTGACCAAAACGTTTCTCCCCGGTCAAACTAAACGTCGTATCTCACCAAACCACGAAAAAGTTTGAAAGACGCGGTTTCATCGAAAGCAAAATGCCTTGACTCAAAGAAGTTTTACGCAAACATTGGGCCGAGAACCGCTCGTACGGAACAGAAAATCGCGAGTCGTTCGAGGACTCGCCACTTTCGTGCATCAAATGCCTACAGGGTGCATTATCGCACCGTTCGCAACGCAGAAATACCTGGTTTGATCTGCGAACTGATGATGTCCCCTCGATTGTGGACGAAACATTTGCAAGGTAACTGTCAAGCTCGGCGAACAGATCAACGCCCACCCCCTATTGATCGCATCGCCAGGGGGAAGTTGTTAGACTGAGTTCCGTCATCCAAAATTAAGAGAACCAGATGAATAGGCTGAATAGATCGGCCAAACACGTCAAAGCGCAATTCATCTCGGTGGCCGGCTCATTTTTCAACTGAACATGAATTCCCAGTTCATCGTCCGGTCAAAATAGCCTCGATAGCGTGAACATCTTGTCAATGCTTAAATCACACGTCCTTGAAAACTACCGTTTTCCGGTTAAGGAAAAAGGCATTCTTGCACGGAAGTTTACACTTACATTAATGAGAGAATATTCCTCAAGCATCGGCAAAAAATAAACCCATGTGATCAATAGGCCTGCAATCACGTGACCGGTTATAGCCCGAGAAGTACCTAATTTCTTTTCATCTCTCAGCTACATGGTCACGTGATGCTGAAGCCGCGTGTACTTTCAAATCAGTGGGCGCCGTGTGAGCGGATAACGATTACGGAATAGGGAACAGATTATTCTGGGAATTGCCGCCTCGAGCCCGCAAATAGTATTGAAAAGAGACTAAAGACGGATTTTATCACTTATGCGAACTGTGATATTTGTAGCCAAAAGCATCAACTCATTCGATTCGACACCCGAAATCCAGTCGACCGACGAGTTTCACTTACATCCACCTTAGTTTTTTCTGCACAAAGAGGGTGGCCGTTCGAGGCTTTGAGAGAACCAATCACATCGATCCGGTGTTAAAATTTAGCCTGTCCAGGCATGGCCACTCATGAGCCGGGGTCTATATTTCGCCACAACTATTGATGAGTCCAACTAGGGGTGGAATGACTCCACTCTTTGGGCTAAACAGTTGCACCAACAAGAAGAGATGACCGTTCAAACGAGGGTAATGTGAATCTAATCAGCTGTAAAACCTTTTTGGTGCCTACCTGCCAGGTGCCGAAGTAAGCATGATGACTGAGGTACTGTTAGGTTTCCCAAGCCAAGATAAAGGCATCCGGGGCTGGGTTCGAACCACAGAGCTTTCGGTCAGTAAGTTTGAGCCCCAACTACCGAGCTATCTAGAAACTCAAGCTAACGAAGGTAAACAGGATACGGTAGCCCTAAAGGTATGTCCATCTGGTAACCTATTATTGCTAATTCCGGTGAAGAAATGGATAGATAAGACTCATGGTGCACGGCGTAGGTTGCTGATGCCAAGTATCACTCACCAAACCATAAGCATAGTTAGCACCCCGTCGGTGCCTAGCTGCCACGTCACCCGGAGGAAGCACCAAGTACGAGATACTGCTAGGTTCCCAATCAAGATGCTGAGGTTGGGTTCGAACCACGAACCTCCCGGTTGGTAAGTTCGCGTTGGTGTTGTGAATGCTTGATAGGACTGGAACTCGCCACTAAGTATCAAACTCATTGTAAAAAAGTAAATCGTCCAGCTCTAACACACTCCAGGCGCCTAACTGCCATGCCACCCAAAGGAAGCACGCGGGATGGGATACTGTCAGGTTGTCCAAGCCTACACAGGAGAAGTCGAGATGCAGAGGTCAGCTTCGAACTACAGACCTTCCACGCTCTAACCACTGAGCCATCTCAGTACGGAAGAGTGGAAGTACGTCACATGCCGCTACTCACCGAGTTGCTGACAAATGTGAGTCATGATCCATTTTGAGGTTGGTCACCATTTGGCTAGCCCTAATGTCGGGGAAACTCAACACTCACATCGGGGAGAGTTTTTTTCCTCGACTCTGTTGATATGCATCAACTCTGAATATTGCTAACCGGCCCGTTACTCTTTCCAGTCTGTCGAATAACCGGCGGATTGTTTTCTCGTTGGCTCAGAGTACGCGTGTACCAAACTACAGAAAGGGTTGTAATGTTTTAACTACCAATGCCCCCAAAAGCGTTGGAGAGGCATCAACGAAACCTCGGCGACATAAGCAGAAAATATGTATTTGGTTGAGCAGTGGGGCATGGCCATGCGCTACGCATATCGAGAAATCATCTACCGAAGAGTGTCGTCCTCCTTGCCTCCTTCAGAACGACTCCAACCGCGGAGTGGATAACATACGACTTCGCTGGAGGGTGTGAGGAAGATCATGAAGAGTTTAGGTGATGTTGGGCAGGTCCGCTTACGAAGATGAGACACTAGGGACCCCACCCCCCGCGCTTGGTTGGAGACATTCAGAAGAACGGCAGCTGATCAACGTCGGCAGTGTTCATGCTGGGCGCTCCAAGGTGTGGGCACATCAGGGAGCTTGCGATAAGACAATGCCGAGTCCCCCTCCTTCATCCACGCTTTCTCCTTTTTTCACGTCAAGGTATTAAATACAATAATGACGTCTTCTGAATACAGATAACCATAAAAATGCATTGTCCGGCAAGGAGAAAACACAAGGTGGCTGTACCTGAACGTGAAAAGTTGAGTTGTCATCATCACAAACAGCGACACTGGCGTAGAATCCTCGAAAGCCCAAAAATGAACAAGAGATGGACCTTGTACTGGCCTATTACGGTCAGTCTGGAGTGAGTATTCATGACTAGACATTGGTTGTAACGAGCCCAATGCTGGAAACAAACGATTCACCGTGTTCACCACAAACACGTCTTTTTTAAAAAAGTAGGTAGGTGTCTTTGAAGCTCACCTGCAGAACTGCTCACCGTAAAACGATATTCTGGGGGGGGGGGGTGTTTTATCTTTAAGGGCAATTTGCTTGGCACCCTTAGGAATACGTGTATTCAAGGTCACGAACCACCGCGCTAGACGTTTCTTGGGGAGAAGGAGGAACTCGACAGTCAACGTGGAAACGATGTAGCTCATCCAGGAGAAAGTACGCCACGAACTGCCGGGAAGTCCTTTTGGAAAAGTAGTTTTCCCCATTTTTCGTTGATCTCCCTTTGGAGTAGTCTTATTTTGATTTGTGCATTCCGGTGGTACCCCTAGAAATGTGAGAGTGTTCCTTGATGAGCCAAACAGCAACAGATGACCGAGAGGTCTTGTCTGAGACCGATTTCATCATGCTGTTGATTAGCCCAGTGTTTGTGAAGGTCAGCGTTCAAACGACCATTTGAAAGGTAAGAAATCACACTTCCCCCCTCGAGACGCTCACTCCTGGGACAGGCAGACAGCGGTTGTCGGCTTTCAGTATAAATTGGGCTTCTGAAATGACGGGATCTTCCCCAGATAAGCCCCGCCACCAATGCAAAAAGTGCATGTACGAAAAGTTAGGCCCCACCATTTTTTGCCAGCTCCAATTTAATGTACGCACACAAACTTGACCTATTTTTGGTGAAAACCGTTGCTTATCTGCGTTTATGCTCATTTTGTGCAAAAATCTTCTCCGTTCGAAAGTAAAACCTTAAATGAACTTTCTGACGCTATCTACTCTCATTCATGACAATGGGACGGCGATGCGTCTTTTGTAAAGCCACGGAGTGATCCATCAGCAACGTTTATGCGACAATGGCCACCAAATGACACTTTCAACTGTTTCTGACAAGTGGAGGTGTAACGCCAGACAGTGTCGGCAAGAAATCGGCCTTCGAAAGCGAACTTGGCTGGAGCGGTCTGAAATGTAGTTTAGGACAGTAATTCTGTTCACTTACTGCTGGTCCAAACATTTGACAAAAATCGAATTCCGCTCACAGGAATTATCTATTAGCCACACGATCGCTGTTGACTGGAAGAACTTTCTTCGTGAAGTTTGCGCCTGGCGGCTTTTTCAGACTTCACCAGTTATCGGCGGCCCAGGTTTTAGTCTAATCCTTTTGGGTGGCGAGGGTAAATTTTTTTTGGCAACTCCACGATCTCTCCGCTAGCTGCACGGTAACAGATGATCGCAATGCGGCTAAGAATATTATATTCACATGAATCATACTAATTCAGTTGTCATTTGGAGTTTGATTACTACTCACTCCATAATACGGCATACGTACTTGCTATGTTTGTATGCGAGTTGAAAAGTTTACCTATCAGACTTCTTCCAATAGGTTAGAATCCAATTTTCATACTACTCAGCTGTCGGTTGTTAATGCGAGATCGCATCGCGTTCCATTTTCATTCCTGCTGTGACTACTCACGAGTAGTCACACATAATACAGCCGGATGGGGGTACCGATCCGTTTGACAGATGCAAGCTCGGCTGTAATGAGTTACTGTGGTTGGTAGAACACAAAAATGAATAAAACTAGAGGACTGCGCTTACTGGATGAGCCACAAGAAGTTCGTAGTTCGTCGGACGGTCTTCAACAACTTTCAACAACTTTCACCCAAAAGCGGCTTATCAAGTGAAACACTATGGAGCCCGATTGAGAGCGAGAAAGAGAATGAAATAAAATGGAATTCCAAGGTTGCCGTGGTTAGAGACACATCAAAGGAACGAACAGATACCATAGGGAGCAGAATAGCCCAACTGTGTATGTATCGCAAACCAATTATTGCTGAGGGAATTCACAGCGCGTATAGGTTAAAAAAATTCTAGCGTTATCCCCAAAAAACAAACACAGGGACAAAATACCGGTCTCAGACACAAACGAACGAGGGGATGGCGATAATGATGCGAAACGTTCAATCGTCCTTCTTCGAAATTCGAGGTTCCTTCTTCGCGTTCCGGGAACCCGTTCTGGACGAACAAAAAGGGAAGAAACGGAACTGTAGAAGCACTCCACAACCGTTTTGCAGGCATTATCGAAAGTATTGTACTATCCTAGGTTGACATCATCCGGTTGGATGGATTATGCCCATCATAAAAGAAAAACAAGGGGATTGAATAATTCCACAACGCAACCGGATTGAAATGGGAAACCTACGTTTTCACGTCTCCTTGTCCGTCATCATCCTCGTGATCCCCTCGTTGTCCGAATTCATTTACACGAGATTTGTCGACCGGATAAAGCCTGAAAAGTGATGTGAAATCCCCATAAGCGCTCAACATCTAAGCATTCCAAAGAAGAACTGATGGTTTAGAAGTGGAACAGCAGGTTTGCGGCTGCCCTTAAACAAAAAGAGGTTGATTAATTGATGTTGCACAATGCCTCTCCCAAAACAACTAGCCAAAATACTCGTGTTGAACGCAAGACTGTTTTCCGACTTGCATGCCTTCTGACAAGACTACTAGCGACATCTTAAGCAACTGTTCCCCGTTATACCATCAAGCAGGTCATTCACATGGCTCAAGCGTGAACACAATCGCCTCTTCAAACGCGATAATCCACTGTGTATAGGTGGAGTAGGGGGTTAAAACGTTCGGCTCGCACGCCATTTGTCCACGGTTCAAACCCCGGCACACCCAAGGACAAGTACTGAGCTTAAATGAGAGTGAAACTCGAGTCCAGTCCCTTCCCACACAGGAATCATTGCGACAGAGGGGCGTTCACATGAGAGTGATATGAGTGTCAGTTCTACCAATCTCAAGGCCAGTGGAAACGCAAACGGAAGATCTGTCAAAAATCGCTAATGTGCACAACCAGAGCACGTGATTACAGCTGTTGAAGCGCAGACAGCGTAACTTTGGATGCAGACTTCGAATACAGAAGTTAAGATCACGACAATCATTTGATTACTTGGTTGGTTTCCAACGTAGATCAAAATAGAGGAGCGAGTTGGCTCAGTGGGCACAGCGCAAATTTACTGACCGGAAGGTCAGTGGTTGGAACCCGACCTCTGGCACTCGACTTCCCCTGTCTGGACTTGGGCAAGTTGGCAATATCCCAGCCCTCGTGCTTCCTTCGGGTGGCATGACAGCCATACACCGGGAGGGTGTTACAGCACCGGAACTTCACTCAGGAACTCTCAACCGTTATCCTCAAACGATAAGTCGCTTTTTGGCCGATTCCCCTTCGCGCGTTATATCTTATCAAGTGCACCTAACTATCGCAATCACCATCATTCTGGTAAAACAGACATTTGCCAGTGCTTGTCACCTTCTGATAATCAATCTAAATTACGTTACAACCAGATGACTAACAGATCCCGCATTTGTTCAGATCTCAACACTACCGAGGCAGGTCCGACATCAACATTCGTACATGGGGAATCTCAATCAGCCGACGGTCACCTACTCTGACCTGCGTAGGAATGAGGTTATGTTCTCATAGCCTAGAACAGATTTTTCAGACAACTGACTGACAATCTAACAGTTTCACACCGAATGCTCCCAAGGACACGTTCAGCGGACGACCGAATGAGAAGTCGCCGATTCACATCAGGACAACTAATCGTAGAAGAGAATCGTTCACTCTTTCAGTGCCTTGCTGTTATGCCATCCAAAGAAGGTACGAGGGCTGAGAGACTGTCAGGTTGCTCAAGCCTAGACAGGGGAAGTCGAGAGGCATAGGTCGGGTTCGAACCACGGACTCTCCGGTCAGTAAGTTCGCGTCACAACTACTGACCCATCTCAGACAGAATGCCTCCTGAATCATGCATACTATCCTCTTCGTGTTATTCTCCACCTCCGCATTCCACCTACGTAAGGCCACGTGAAAAAAAACCATAGAGGCGTAAATCGATGAACGTACCATCGTTGATACAAATAGATCAGAAATATCACATCATCTCGAAGGCAAGCGATCCGATGCGACGTGGGCATGGTGATAATCATGGCGAAGAAGTCGTCGATGAATGTATTGAACGCCTGGAACAAGAAAGTTCTCGTGGTTAGTTTACTCTATCAACTCCATCAACGACCAGTCAGAGATGATTCGGAGGAGCAAGCGGTCACGGCTATGTTGTGGTTCAAGCATAACAATAAAATATGGCTAAATGGGTAGGAATTGTGGCGATTACGGTGCTCTCATTGGTTGGTGGTCCGTTGATATGGTTTATCGATTGGACGATCAGCTGATCAACCAAAGTGCGCGGAATGCTGTTTGAACCACACCGTTTTTCATCAAGCCCGACACATGATAATGAGATTTCGTCTAACAAAGACAATCTATTGTTACGTTGCTAAGTGTATCACAAAATACAATGTGTGTAAGATCTTGAGGTTATTCATGGATGACTGACACTGGTGGGTTTGATTGAATCTAATTCTGCAGTGCCAAGTTATTCTTACTCCGGTTTCCATCCAGTTTGGTGGCGACGAGTTTGTGGATGCGGTTGGAAAACCCGTTCCAAAGGATTTTACGCTCGATTTGAGGACAAACCAAATACGACGCGAATCGGAGCGGCCATCTAATCTACATCCTGAATGGTAGGTTCCCGTAGACAGGTGTTTCAGAGTGAATTACAAAAACGGGTCTCCACATATATAAAGACAAACCATTGTCTGTCAGGTAATTCGGCATAAACTGTCCCCCGTTTGCCATAAGCAGACAAGGAATGATAGTGTACAGGGATGGTAAGATTATCCGATCTTTGCCCTCGAATTACGGTCAGAGAGAACATGAGGGAATCAAGTGTCACAAAGCATTCGTCGACCGAACTAAGAGTACTGGCAACGGGCAGCTGCATGCTGCATTATGCCAGAAGGGCACCCTCCGAGTATTTAAACAGTCTGTCCACAAGGAAACTTCCCGTCTACGTCCAGGACAAAAAAGTTGAAAAACTATCTTTACGAGAATGGTCCTTACATGAAAGCCTATGCCAGAAACCCTCCGACTATTTAAACAGTCTGTCCACAAGGAAACTTCCCGTCTACGTCCAGGACAAAAAAGTTGAAAAACTATCTTTCTTTGAATGGTCCTTACATGAAAGCCTACAAAGGGAGGAGTATAAATGTATAAAAATTAACTGTGTTTATTGCACCTTATGAACCGTTTGGAAACCACAACGAAACAGAAATGGCAAGTGGACCAATCAGGTCAAAGTAAACACAGGTACCCAATAGACCAATCAGATGACATTCGGACCGGTTGGAAAGCAACACATAAGGAAAGCAGAATGGACCAATCGGAATAAAAGAACAGGACTACTGAAATGGAACTACCCAACGGACTACCCAAACGGCGAAATAATCAGATCGAGAAGGAACACAAAGCCAGAAAGGATCGATCAAAATAGGTGAAACATAACTTCCGAACAACCAATCACGTTGCGGATAGTAAACACTTTGGAAACTATATAAACGCAACGGAGATGAAGAAACCACCCACCCAACCACACGGTGACAAAACGCGTGCAAGCCAGTTGCCTAGCTCGAAGAACAGATTAATTGTAACCTGATCAACAGCCTGAAAGCATGCCTTCTATTCATGGATTCCGGATGGGTTCAGGAGCAGTCCACTACTGGTTCTCATCCAGTCTTCCATTCTTACCTGACACCGCATAAGGATTCGAAATCGTGAAGTTCAGTACAGTAGGCGCTCAGATAGAAAAACTTTAGACACGACAGTTTCGCTGCTTAGCTCTGTGGTTGGCAGAGAAGTCAAACACGGAACTGCGTGTCAATGTAGGGGGGAGACACGCAATAAGGCCTGAACAATCAGTTCGACTAATGCCAAGAAACTTCTGAGCAAAAGTGGAACTAATCTGCCCCTAGAAAGACCGTACAGCCCTGGTAACTGGGAGATAAAATGAGCGCGCTCACCTTGTACGTCAAGGCCTTCCAAGGCAAATGAGCCACTGATTTCAGCCGATAATTGATGAATAGTTGAGGTGTCATGAACAGGAAACCGAAGGCATAAACTCCTGTGTGTGGTGTGAGGAAGAAAGAGCAAATTATCAAACGAACAGAAGGCAATTGTCATGGTCGATTAAACAACTTTAGAGGCACGCTGAAATAAGCCCACCCTAGTTTCGCAAGCGGTCAACCACCCAATGGAAGAAGAAGTAGGGTAAAAGATGGCTCAAGTGGTTAGAACGCGAATTTACTGACCAGAAGGTCCGTGGTTCGAACCCGACCTCCGTCTCTCGACTTCCCCTGTCTAGGCTTGGGCAACCTGCCTGGGCAACCCAGGCCTCGTGTTTCCTTCGGGTAGCATGGCAGCTAGGCACCGGAAG